CAGTGTTTTCACTGTATAAATGTCCTTTTATCTCTTTCCAAGTGAAAAGATTTTCCTCATGTTGTTCAAAGATAATTGGATTATAAAATTATATAATTATGAATTATAAAAACTTTATTTTCAATCTAGCAGCAGACCCTTTGGGGCCATAAAGAGACTAATTTTTGGAATAATAGTATGAGTAATAATTTAGGGCTTCTCACACAATAGTTGACCCTTACATGCAGATAAGTTTTACTTTAGTCTCACTTGGGTCAGGGGAGAGAGAAGAAGATAAATAGGCAATTGTGAAATTACTTCAGAATACTTCTTAAGAAATTTAAAGGTGATTATTAGAAAAGCTGATGGTAACTTGGGTTTATTAGTGTTAGTGTTATAGTGGTGGAAAGTTTTTGGCAATGGGTGTTTCTTTGTCTACACATAGCATCACATAAATGTTTGACAAACTAGTACTGACAGAATCAGGTAAACAGTGGCTTTAAAGTGACTTTTTCTTTTTTTTTTTTTTTTTTTTTTTGTGGTGTTGGGGATTGAATCCAGGACCTTGTGCATGCAAGGCAAGCATTCTACCAATTGAGCTATATCCCCAGCCCTAAAATGACTTTTTTACGTGAGTTTTACCAAGTTAATATTCATACTATTGCCCTTTTCCAGTTCTTTGCTGAAAGTGTTGATCTTTTGTTCTGACTTCAAAAAATAATATCTTTAAGTGCAATTTGGTATTAGTATGACTATTTTAAACCTCATCATAGAAATTAGTTTCTAAAGTCTTAAACTGACCTTTGGTAGTCCTTGATCATATGACCTGGCCTCCTGCAACCAGCTATTGTCCTAACCTTAATGTATTAGATGCTTTATTTTCTGTTGTTTTAAAAAATAATTTATACACTTTTAGCTGCCTTGAGTGTTTTTAAATTTAATTCTTCTCAAATTTACCTGAATTCAAATATTACTAAGATAAAGGCACCAAAGTGGCCATTTAGTGTTTCCCAGGAGTTAGTTGAAACTGGTAACCCAAGAACTCTGGGAACTCCTTAGAAGATGTAAGGCCAGCCATAGTCAAATAACAGTGGAAAAAGTACTTGATGTTAGGATAGGGCTAAATTACAGTTTAAGGAATCATTAACATCACTTGAACTCAAAAGTAGTAAAACTGTGACTACTGATCACGATTAAAGCAAATGTACTATATATAGATGCTAAGAGATTGGAAAGATATATTTCTCCAGGCACTTACATTCTTATCTGAATGTATGATTAAAGGTTGTCCCTGTTTTAAGGTGATAAATCTAGACATCTATTACAATAAGACACGACAGATTATTTACAGAATTTGAGGTGTGTGACATTTCAAAAACAATCTCACTTTGTTTTGTACAGTAACTAGTCAATGGAAAGGCATTAAAACTTGTACATTAGGAGATACTAATGCTATTGACATCTTTAAACTTACATGCATAAATAGGATATTTAATACACCACCTGTTCAGTATGTCAGAGATTTTAAATGATAATTTAATTATTGGTATTATGTATTAACCAGGAATACAGTGGCTCTTTCTGGATAAAATCAAAGGTCTTTTTATGAAGCTAAATGGGGCCTATAAGACATTGCTACTTTAAATTGAATATAGTTTATAAACATTGTGTTGAGAGGTGGTCTTGGTGGCACATGCCTGTCATCCCATAATGGCTGGGAGGCTGAGACGGGAGGATGGTAAGTTTAAAGCCAGCCTCAGCAAAAGGCAAGGCACAAAGCAATTCAGTGAGGACATGTCTCTAAATAAAATACAAAATAGGGCTGGGGATGTGGTTCAGTGGTACTCAAGAGTACCCATGAGTTCAATCCCCAGTACAAAAAAAAAAAAAAAAAAAAAATTTGTTGAGAGACATATTCCCTTGATTTTTGAATACTAGAATTTTTTTTAAATCATATGCCACAAGACAATTGCTAAGAGAATTTATATATAGCTTACAATATGTGAGTAAACTGTTTTGAATTAATTATAGAATTAGAAATTAGAGGCAGAATTTTGTTCCTTGGAGAAAAATTATTGATCTTCAGAAAGAGTGCAGTTTTTTAAAAAATATTTTTAGTTGTAGATGGACACAATATATTTTTTTTATGTAGTGCTAAGAACTGAAACTAGTGCCTCACACGTGTTAGGCAAGTGCTCTACCACTGCACCATACAACCCCAGACCAGTTTTTATTTTTTTAAATATTTTTTTTAGTTGTAGTTAACACAATATCTTTATTTTAACCCAAGGCCTCGAACGTGCTAGACAAGTGCTCTACCGCTGAGCCCCAGCCCCAGCCCCAGTTTTTATTTTTGATATGATTCTTGGAATGGAAATATTTTAGGGGTTTTGCATTTTTGAAATTGTATAGTGTGATACTTAATGTTATATTTCCCTTAGAACAAATCAAGAAGTCATAGGCCCTTTCCTTGACCCCTTTCATTGTAGATCAGGTTGTTTGTGAATTGATGAGTAGGGAAATAAGCAACCTATTCAGAATTTGATATTGCCATTTTCTTTTATGGAAAATTAATTTTTAAGGTAGAATTATAACTAAGTCTGCCCTTATGACTTTTTCATAGTATAAGCATACACTGTATTCAGTTAATATCTTGAGCCTAAAGTTTGAGACCAACAGCCTACTTCTGTGTTATATGCTCTTAGTTATACTTTGAGGAGTATAACTTTTTCCCTTAATTAGGCAAAAAAAAAAAAATGTCTTGTAGGGCACTTGGAATTATTAGCTATTTATAAGTCATCTTTATATTCCTACTTTAAAGGTCACAAATTGTTTTTCTTTAAATAAATACATTTCTAGGGTAGGTTGTAAATTTCTAGTGCTATTTTAAAAATAAAAACCTAAAAAGAATTCTTAGGTAAAGTGATAGAGAATTCTAAGATGGTCCATCAGAGTTACTGAAGTTTCTCTTTAAACATTGTTTTTCTAGAACATGCGAAATAACTTGTGTAGATATTTTGAGTTCTCAATAACTTATTTTTTAGCATTCAAATTATGTATAGATTTTTTTTTTCTTTTTTTTTTTTTTTATTGTTGGCTGTTCAAAACATTACATAGTTCTTGATATATCATATTTCACAATTTGATTCAAGTGGGTTATGAGCTCCCATTTTTACCCCATATACAGATTGCAGAATCACATCAGTTACACATCCATTGATTTACATATTGCCATACTAGTGTCTGTTGTATTCTGCTGTCTTTCCTATCTATGTATAGATTTAAATGCCTTTTGTACTAGAAATAATTTTTCTTTTTTTATTAATTTATCTTAATTTGGTATATATGACAACAGAATGCATTTTGATTCATTGTACACAATTGCAGCACAACTTTTCATTTCTCTGGTTGTACATGATGTAGCATCACACCATATGTGCAGTCAAAATGTACCTAGGGTAATGACGACCATCTCATTGTACCCTCTTTCCTGCCCTCCCTCCCCTTTGCCCAATCAAAGTTCCTCCATTTTCCCCATGCCTCCCCCCTCCCCATTATGGATCACCATCCACTTATCATAGAGACCATTCTGTCTTTGTTTTGGGGGGATTGGCTTACTTTGCTTAGCATGATATTCTCCAACTCTACCCATTTACCTGAAAATACCATAATTTTATTCTCTGTCAATAACATTTTTTACCTTAGTTTTGTATATTACACTGCCTGAGTTACACTATGGTATGGTATATAAGATCTTTGGTTTTTCATTAAAACTTCATACATTTGGGGGAGCAATTTGAACAGTTTAATGACCACACTCTGAGTATGATTGTGAAATGACTGAATTCCATCCAGATTCCATCCAGATTTCTTTCTCAGACTTTCCGGGGAGCTTTTCTTCATTTTTTTCTCCCTGTTTTCCCCACCTCAAGTTATGTACATTGTTTGAAAAAAAGACTTTTGGCATCTGGAATATTTCTCTTGTCCTTTCAAGGTAGTCATCTGGTAGTAAGCAAGCCTATCCTCAGTGTCAAAACAGCACTGCCAATGTATAGATGGGTTTCCATATATCTGAGCCAACCTGAACAGCTACCAGAATGGATCTAGATGATTACTATTTTATAGTTTATCCTGATATAATCAGTAATTGTCACCAAGTAGTGAGATGGGAGGGTAGGGGTAGGAATCGGCAGGGTATCTCTAGCCACAATTTTAAAGTTTATGGGAGCATAAAAATCCTAACTACTGAGTATCTTTTATGCTATTTAAACTATAGCAAACTATTAGGTATTCCTAATCATGTTGCATTGCTTGCTTCTGTGTTGGAAGGGGAAAATATCAACCAAAATCTGCATACCAACTCAATTGCAAAAGGAAATTACAAGATATGTGATTTGAAAAGTGAAAAATATATGTAAAAATAGCAACTTAATTACACATTGACACCGAGCACGTTTTCTGAGTTGAGCAACACTAATTTTGAGTACTTAATTAAGGCTGGTGCTTTACACACACAACTATGAAAATCTTCATAACTCCTGATTTGGGTATTTTCAGAAGCAGGATGGGAGCTGTTTTACCCTAGGTTCCACAACTGGTGAAGAGGCAGAAATGTTCTGAAAATCTCTGGTGTCCCATTCACTAGGCCACACTGCTTCTTCCCTCCCAACACCTCAAAATCGACGTAGGTCCAACCTACTTAATGTAGAAAGGTGGGAACAGACAGTTCTTTCTTATAGGAGGGAATTTAGTTGCTGCTTTGAAACAACGCAGAAGTGTACTATCACCGCGGGAATGCCCTCAAGTCCTGCGCAGCTTTACTACTGGGTCAGACAGTAAACCGATCCAGCGAAGATTGCGAGGTGCTAACGGAGCACCGGGTGGGGCTTTAGGGACCTGGAGAGAAGCGCGAGTCCCGCCGACACGCGGCGGAAGCAGCTCCCGACCCCGCCCCGCGTCCGGTGAGCCAGCGCCCGCGGCGGGTAGCCTGGGTGACGCTGTGAGGCGGCCAGGGTGCAGCCATGTACCGGCTGCCCGAGTCTAAGAGGAAGCGGTGGGACAAGCAGGCCCCTTCCCGGCAGGACGTACAAACCGCCTGTGTCCTCCCCTCTCCCGGGGCTGGTGAAGGCGGCCCTGCTCTCCCGGATCGGCAATCGGCGCCGCGGGCGACGGTGGCAGGCTCGGCGGGTGCCCGGGACAACAACCTACCGGCACCCGCACGCCCTCGTCCTTTGCTGCGCTCCGTGACCTCCTCCACAGGCGGGTCGCCGCCTTCCTCCGGGACCGGTAGTTCTCAAAAACATACCGGCATATTTGCCCACAAAAACAGACCTAGAGAGGTACATTGAGCAGTAGGTAGGAATTGAATTCTGGCTCCACACGCAGATGTTTAGATGCTCGTGAAAGCCCCCCTCACCACCTCTGATTGGAGGGTTGCAAAGTAGCCCAACAGCTGGGGAGCGTCGGGGGTGGGGGGCAGAGAAGCAGCCCTGTTCTGGATAGGACCCGGGGCAAGGAGGGGCTGGTGGGTTGCTCTCTACCACTACCTGAAAGGGTTTTGGAGATTGCCTCGGAACGGAGGGCGAAGGGTTTTGAGCAGGCTGCTGTTTTGTGTCCAGCTCAGGTCAAAGGTTGTGGCCATGCTCGGCATCAATTTATTTTGTCCCAAATATTTTTGTCCGATGAATCTTGAGTTATGTGCAGTTTAAATTTTCTTTCTTCCTCCCTTTCCTTTCCTGAGCCGTCCCTTCTTTCCTCTTCCTACTTTCTTCCCTCCCTCCCTCCCTTCCTACTGAAACCAAACCAAAAAGCAATCAAAAAGGATAAGTTAAAAATACACTTTTAAGATTCTACATCTTTATTGACTAGAGTTTTAAAAAGACGTGTGAGTTATTAAAGGTTTATGTAACATGTGGTTTGAAAATTGAACTTTTAATTATTTTTGCTTCAATCATTTCATTTTGCAGCAATCAGGATTACAGTTAGGGATGTGGTACTGGAAAGATGAAACCAAAACTCTTGAATTCAGAAGGTAAATTTTAATAAAACTTTATTAGCAGTTTTATAAAATTACATATGTGTGGGATAAAAAATAAGCAATGTAGAAAAGTATAGAGATTCTGGAAGCTAAGAAATACACAGGAATATATATCTTCCCTACTGCTAGAAAAATAAATATTTAACCAGTGTGTTCCCTTTATAGTATTATTTAGCATTATTCTACAAAAAGGATATTTTATATTACTAGTTGGAATTATTGCCTAATTCTATCTCATTCTTTTGACCACAATTTCAAATATGTAACATTACAATTTGTATTGAAAAAAAAGTATAGAGAATAAAATAAATATCTGGTGAAGTCCCACTATCTGGAGATTATCATTTTACTGAACAGCCTTGCAGACATCACTTTCTGTTAATTAACCCTTACCAGCTGCTTCCCATGTACCAGCCTTTCTACTAATCAGTCCACAAACCCTTTGAAACAGCTGCTATCCAGTTTACAGATAAAGAAACTGAGGTTTCAAAGGGCTAAGTGATTTGAAAATTAAGTAACTTGGTCCAATAGCATAGCTCATAAGTGACTAAGAAGATTTAAATGTATGCATGTTTGGCTCCAGAGTCCATATTCTTAATACTGTGTAAAATTGCCTTTGTAAGTTATAGAAATAGTTTTACATGAGTGGGATCATATTACACCTCCTGCAATGATGGTACATTTTATAAGGAAATATAATTAGATTAGAAAAACTAATCTAAAATCCTGAATCTAGCTGGGAGTGGTGGCACATATCTGTAATCCCAGTGGCTCAGGAAGTTCGGGTAGGAGGATCACGAGTTCAAAGCCAGCCTCAGCAATTTAACAAGGCACTAAGCAACTCAGTGAGACCCTGTCTCAAATTAAAATACAAAAAAGGTCTGGGGATGTTGCTCAGTGGTTAAGTACCCTGCTATCAATGGAAAAAATAAATACTGACTCTAAAACTATATAACTAAACTGATAATACTAGCCACTACTTGTGTATCTAGTGCATATTTTTCTAATTCTTATAAATAGCTATGTGAAGTGAGCATTAATATTCTCATTTTATGGGGGCTGTGTTGTGGCTCAGCAGTAGAGTGCTCGCCTAGCACATGAGAGACCCTGGGTTCCATCCTCAGCACCACATAAAAATAAATAAAGGTATTGTGTCCAAACAACTACAACTAAAAAATAAATATTTTTAAAAAATTTTAAAAATATTCTTATTTTATTGGTGAAGAAACAGAGGGTCAGTGAGATTAAGCAAAGTCATATAGACATTGAGTAGCACAACTGATAGTTTGAACCAAAATTAGTCTGATGCCAAAGCCCTTTCCACTTACAAGCTCTCTCCCTCTATTAGACTGTGGGCCCCTCAGCAGCAGAAAATGCCTTACTCATCTTCATGTCCCAGGAACTTTACAGAATGGGTGCTCAACAAATGTTTATTGAGATGTTCAGTTAACCAGCTGGATTCAAGTGGAGGAATACTAGAGGTAGGGGACCAATCAGAAGGCCATTGATTGCAGGATTAGAGATAGTTATAGTAAGTAGCAGAATTAACTCCATGCAGTTAAAAACAGAAGGGTGAAGGACAAAGAAATATTTAAGAGGTGGAATTGACAGAATGTTTGGATAAAATTGATAGAATATAAGTGGCTGGATATAAAAGGAGAGGGAGAAGTAGGTGTCTTTATTGACTCCCAGGTGTCTGAGTGGAGAAAGTGAGTGGCTAGGCTTGCCCTTCACTCAAATACAGATTAAAAGACACAAATGTGTGTTTGAGTTTGCTATGACATGTTCACATGAATATGACTCTTCAGCTGTTGGACAAATGGGGCTGGAGGCCAGGAAGAACTTTGCTAAGTATATATAGTTACATTATGAATATAATGACATGGAGGTCAAACAAATAATTAAAAGGCTTCACATTTTATTAGCATCAAAATTAAGTTTCATAGAATATATTTGTTCCAGGATTAAGGAATCTTTTATGTCCAAAGTAGTAATTTTAGTTTTGCTTTTTTTTCCCTCAGAAATGTCATAGAAGATTCTGTTTGGCAGCTTCTAAAGCATTACACTTGGTGACTGTGAGACAGACAGCTGTGGTATTAAATGAAAGACTAGTCACAGGAATCAAAATAGAATGTGGGTCTAAAATTTTCCTATATTTGCCTTCATCTACATATAGATACATACAGATATACATATCTATTCTTCATACCATATGTATATCACTATGTATCTATATGTAGATATAGACATATATAGGTGCTGGGGATCAAACCTAGCATGCTAGGCAGGTACTCTACACTGAACTACATCCCCAGCCCTCTTCATGTATATTTAAGGACTATCTTAGGTAGTGACATAGTGCTTCAGGAGGCTGAGGCAGGAAAATCCCAGATTTGAGGCCAGCCTGGGCAATTTAGCAAGAACTTGTCTCAAAATTTAAAAAATTATGTGGCCTACGCACATACATTCTGGGACAGTTTGAGGAGGTGTAGAAAGGAACATGATGAAGAATAGATAGGGACAGCCCTTTTGTAAGATGTAAATTACAAAAGAGCTGTAAGGAGATGTAACTCAGTGGTAGAGGGCTTGTCTAGCACATGTGAAGTCCTGGGTTTGATCTTCAATAATGAAAAATAAAATAAATATAAATAAAGGCCATCTTAGCCCTCTTTAATGAAAATTGTACCATACTTACTGAACTTCTGTATAAATGAAGTTAATTGGCAGTATTTTAAAAAAATATTTACTCTTTTTAGTTGTAGTTGGACATCATACCTTTATTTATTTATTATTAAGGGATGCTGAGGATCGAACCCAGGGCCTCACACATGCTAGGTGAGCACTCTACTGCTGAGCTACAATCCCAGCCCAGTTAGCAGTACTTTTCAAACTAATCTTCAGTGCTAATCCAGGTAGCACTATTTCATATTTGAGCCTACTAATAAACTTACAGATAATCAGTTTCATAGTTTTTAATATTTATAAATTATTCATATTCACAAGCTAAAGTTTCTTTTGTTACCAAATTGTTATTAAAATATGACTTGATTTGATTTCCCCTAGTTTTAGAGATGGTATGACTTAAAATATTGGTTGTAATTAATTGTCTATTTTAAAAAAGCTAGAGAGGTTTATAATTGTACCCAACACAAAGAAGTAATAATTGTTTAAGGTGATAGATACACCAGTTACCTTGATTTGATCATGATATTATATAAATGTATTGAAATATCACACTGTACCCCAGTTACTATATGTTGATTAAATGTATTAAAAAATAATATCTAAGTCACATGGTATAATATTGCCCCAAAAAGGCTAGATACAAAGTGTAAATACTGCTGGGCACAGTGGGACATGCCTATAATCCCAGTGATTTGGGAGGCTGAGGCAGGAGCCTCAAGCGAGTTCTAGGCCAGCCTCACCATCTTAGCTAGACCCTGTCTCAAAATGAAAAAGGGCTGGGGATGCAACTCAGTAGTTAAATGCCCCTGGGTTCAATCCCCAGTACCAAAAATAAATAAATACCCCCCAAATACCAAAGCCCCCCAATGAAAAAGTAAATGGTTGAATGAATGGTTATATGTGTGTAAAACTTTTTAAAACAAAAGGAATTGCCATGATAGAAGTAAAAAAATAGCAGTTACCTTTAGGGGTATTATCAGCTGGCACATAGTGGGGGACAGTACAAGGGAACCTGCCCATGTACTGGAAATGGTTTTTATGTGTTGGTGGTAGTTACGTGGGTATATACATATTAAAAACTTGATCACGCTTTATACTTAGGATTTTTTTTTAATTTTTTATTGTTGGTTGTTCAAAACATTACATAGTTCTTGATATATCATATTTCACACTTTGATTCAAGTGGGTTATGAACTCCCATTTTTACCCCGTATACAAATTGCAGAATCACATCAGTTACACATCCATTGATTTACATATTGCCATACTAGTGTCTGTTGTATTCTGCTACCTTTCCTATCCTCTACTATCCCCCCTCCCCTCCCCTCCCCTCTTCTCTCTCTACCCCCTCTACTGTCATTCATTTCTCCCCCTTGTATTATTTTCCCCTTTCCCCTCACTTCCTCTTGTATGAAATTTTGTATAACCCTGAGGATCTCCTTCCATTTCCATGCAATTTCCCTTCTCTCTCCCTTTCCCTCCCACCTCTCATCCCAGTTTAATGTTAATCTTGTTCTCATGCTCTTCGTCCCTATTCTGTTCTTAGTTACACTCCTTATATCAAAGAAGACATTTGGCATTTGTTTTTTAGGGATTGGCTAACTTCACTTAGCATAATCTGCTCTAATGCCATCCATTTCCCTGCAAATTCTATGATTTTGTCATTTTTTAATGCAGAGTAATACTCCATTGTGTATAAATGCCACATTTTTTTAATCCATTCATCTATTGAAGGGCATCTAGGTTGGTTCCACAGTCTTGCTATTGTGAATTGTGCTGCTATGAACATCGATGTAGCAGTATCCCTGTAGCATGCTCTTTTTAGGTCTTTAGGGAATAGACCTAGAAGGGGAATAGCTGGGTCAAATGGTGGTTCCATTCCCAGCTTACCAAGAAATCTCCATACTGCTTTCCAAATTGGCTGCACCAATTTGCAGTCCCACCAGCAATGTACAAGTGTACCCTTTTCCCCACATCCTCGCCAGCACTTGTTGTTTGACTTCATAATGGCGGCCAATCTTACTGGTATACTTAGGATTTATTTGCTTTAGTACTTATAAGTTACAACTCAATTTAAAACAAAAATTAAATACCCCAAGTAGAGATTATGTGGCCTACACACATACATTCTGGGACAGTTTGAGGATATGTAGAAAGGAATATGATGAAGAATAGATAGGGACAGCCCTTTTGTGGTGAAGCTGTTTCAAGTTTTAGTAACTCAGTTTGGCAAACCTTAGGTTACCTTAAGTGTCCTGCTATTAGGGACAGTAGTACTAAGGTGGAAGAAAATAGACCTTTGTATATTTTATGGCCAGAGTTAGTGTTTGGGTTCAGTGGAAATATAGGTGCTGATTTCTTATTAAAGTCTGAACATATCTGAGTGGGCAGTGGTTGGAGTAAAAGCTGCAGAGGTGGCAGGCTTGTCCAGGAACCCTTACTGAGTACATGGGCTGCATTTCTGCTCTAGAAAGCTCCTCCCATGGGAACACTGAGGAGCAAGATTCCAATTAGGTGGATAATCTTAGAGGGAGGGGGTAGGACCTAGATGAATTCTAACAGAATAGAGAGATTAGGACAGTAGGTGAGTCAGTAAGCATGTAGAGGGGTTGAAAGATTTAGTTATACAGGTAATAAATATACCTTCTTATTATTAAACTATTCAAATAATGCAGAAACATACAGATGTGGAAGACAGATTTCTTTACCACTATCTCGTCTCTGCCCCAGCCCTCCACCCCTCATTGGAATAGCCACCATTAACAATTGGTATTCTTAAACTTATTTATTTTTCTTGCCTTTCCCCCACCCTAATAACTCAGTACACCCTCCCCCATGATCCCAATCCTTGGAGACCAATGATAAGAGGAACATCAGAAAGAATGAAAAGCGTGGAAATCATCCATTGGCCAGCATGGTGCCAGTGTCTTCAAAAAGGAAAGGAAAAGAAAGGTGGAAAAATACAAGTAATCCATTCTCTTGAGGTGACATCATGTACTCACTTTTTGGAGCTGACATATGATACAACAGGACATTAGGAGGTTGGCCAAACTGCTGGGGAGGTATTCCTCCAAAATAATTCCTTGCTGAGATTTGATAAGGAGGCAATAAGGATCTATATGATTGATATTTATCTTTAGAGAATGACTAAAACTGGGGGAAAAGTACTTCCATTACTCTATCTACATTTCAGCTTAATAGAGGCACATACAACTTTGGGCAGAGATAAAGCTACTGGTTGGGTTATCAATGCCATATTGTTTCCAAGCAGAAAAGCAATTCATAACCCGCACTGGGCCACCAAACCAATGTATGTAGCAAACACCACAGTTGTGGAAAATATATTCTCTCTAAGGTAGGAACCATATCCTACTGATCTTTGAAAGACTTCTATTTTCCTGTTAGCATTTGCTGATATTCTGAGAGCGTGCATTGGCTGTAATCAGATACCATCTCATGTTCACTGTCAGCAATTGCTGACAAAAGTCTCAGGGGCCTCAGTATAAACTTGTTGTTTTTTGAGGTCTCTTGTTAATTAGATCCATTACTGCCTAATAAGTCTTATACTGCCTGTAAGGAAACCCTGAGTCAAGTAAAGGGTTCTGAAAACTTCCTGGAGACAGGCAAGTTCTTGAGAGGGGTTCAAAATTACCAAGATGACTTCTTGGGGGCAGGATTGCCTGGTGGCTAAGCCCATAGCTCTGTGGCTAGAGAACCTGGGTGCCCATCCTGGCTTTGCCATTTATTATGTGATCTCAATCAAGTTACTTAATCTCTTTCTAAGCTTCAGTTTTTCCCAGATATAAAAATGGTGTTAATATTATTTTTCTCATAGAGTTGCTATGAGGATTAAATGAGATTGTGCTGCCTGGCATGGGCACATGCCTGTAATCCCAGCGACTAGGGAGGCTGTGGCAATAGGATCAAGTTCAAAGCCAGCCTCAGCAACTTAACAAGGTCCTAAGCAACTTAGCAAGACCTTGTCTCAAAATTAAAAATAAAAAGGACTGGGGATGTAGCTCAGTGGTAAAGTGCTACTGGGTTCAATCTCCAGTACCAAAAATAAATAAGATTGTTCCTAAAAGCATCTGGCCCATAACAAGTACTCGATAAATTTTTAAAATCCCTCCAAACTTAGTGAGGTTTCTGCTTCTTGAGAAGTTACTACAAGATTTTTAGATAGAAATTTTTGTGTATGGTAGTATTGTGGAGGCTGCTGAGGCTGAGAGCCTAATGTAAAATCTGAAGTTTTAATCATTCTGTGTATAAATACATAAACGGAACACTGTTGTGCCCAAAAATATTTGGCCTCTGCTCATAATATATGCCATCCTAAGGTTGTATGAGTTATGATCATGATGTGATTAGTTTTTCCCTGGGAAAACATCAAGTTACTAATCATCTCATTTCTATTGCAGTTTTATATCTTCAGTAGAACTCAAGGAAAAAGGAAAGAAAGGCAAAGCCGTTCACTTTGCTGAAATTGATGGCCCCGCTTCAGAAAGGTGGTTTCACTTCTCATCCATGCCAGTTCTGCCAATGGTGCCTCTCAGTGGAATCATTTAAGTCTTTACAAACTCTAAGTTCCATTATCTCAGGCTGAAATGCAGTACCAATAAAGGAAAAATGAGGCACTACCTCAGAATTATAGTGGGAGTTACAAATCATCCCTATAAATGTATCTGAAATAACTTGGCTGTTAGTACATTTCAATTTTTTAGTTTTCTTTTAATCTGAATATTGTAACTATCCAGAAATAGATGATTGAAATGATCTCTTTTGGATGAGTGTGTGTGTGTGTGTGTGTACCGTACATATGATATTAGGGGTTGAACAGGGCCTTGCACATGCTGGGCAACTAACTCTACCACTGCATCACATCCCCAGCCCTATGTGTACATTTTATATCAGACAGTGTATATTCCTTTTACATCTAGCATAATAAATATAATGTTTAATAAGACACATCCCCAAATGATATTTCATTAAATGAAACCCATGCATAACTCTGAGGATCTCCTTACTTTATAGTAAATGATTCACACACTGCAAGATAGAGTAGATACAACTAAAACCTTTTAAAACACTAGGGGCTGGGCATGGTGGTGCACAATTGTAATCCCAGTGGCTCAAGAGCTGAGGTAAGAGGATTGCAAGTTGAAGGCCAGCCTTAGCAACTTAGTGAGACCCTGTTTCAAAATAAAAAAGGCTGGGGATATGGCTAAGTGGTTAAATGCCCTTGGGTTCAATCCCTGGTACCAAAAAATAAACGAACAAACAACAACAAAAAAACACTACTACATGCTGTTGTTCCAAAACAGGTTGACAGATAAAAGGCTCTCTTCAAGAGAGGATAAGTCAGCGAAAGCCTTAGAGAAACGAGGTCAGCAGGGCAACGTTACACTGGATGATGTTAAGTGTGAGTAGCTGTTCCCTCCTTCTTACACACTACCTGGTATGAACCTCTAAGGCAGCACTTTGTCTCTCTTTCAATTACCCATCTTCTCTCCTTTCAGTTGTTGCTTTGCTTTTGCTACAAGATACTGAGATGCAGAAGATCTGTTCTTTTACAACGTTTATGAGGTGTGTAATGCTTGCAAGACATTGTCTTTTCCCCTTTACTTTGCAGTAATTTCATCTGATAAGTGCTGATAGATCTGATTTTTAGAGAAACAGCAGGAAGCAGGTTCTATGTAAACCATCAACTCATCACTCAGTCACAAAGACTGAAATCAAAAAGTCTGGCAGAGGAATCCAAAAGTCACAGGAGCCCACAGGAAACCCCAACAAAGTCCCAAGGCAAGGAGTACAGAGTGCATGTTGCCAGAGTTCCATGCAGACTGCACTATATTTATATACCATTCACAGAATGTACCCATTTACTGTAGAATGTTTCTTGATTTTTCTAAACATCAGTTCCCTTAGCTACAAAATTAAGAATAGTGTCTCCTTTCTATGGCTGTCTGTGCCTGGGCTTCTCTTGGCATCTGCACATATGACTGGTCTATTAGAGTCGGGCACCCAATGCTATAGGCACTTCTCCTACATCCCCTCAGATTTCCAGTGCAGGTTGCTTGTGATGAATACCTGAGACTCTTCCCTCAGGTCTTGCTCCACTTCAGGGGCCCACTTGGCCCGAGCACTGACCTTGGCAAGCAGGACAACTCCTTAGAGTTGTTTTCTATATGATATTTTCTATACAACCTCCCAGAGCCCCTGCAGAACTGAATTATACTAGTTCACGGTGATAACACCCCATTCACTGGCTTCCTTCCTTTTCCTATTTCATTTCCACTCTCCATAGGATGTTTCCTAAGATCACGTCCTGCATTATCTGCTTACTCTCAGTTCTTTGCTTCAGGATCTTTTTCTGGGGAAACCCAAAGTTAGATAAGTAGTTATTAATATCTTGACAAAAAAATCTGTAATAGTCACCTTCATCCTGCTCTAAAGGTGCAGTTAAAAGAAAGCATGTCAGAGTAAGAATGTCCTTTGGGGGCTAGAAAGAAGGTAGTAAAAGTCTGATAAAAATATAAAGAAAACAATACCTTCTAATTGAAAAATGAGATAGCATTGTAAATCTGTGCATTCTTTTTGGAGAGCAAAACATGAAAATTTAATATGCTTGTGTACTGTGTTCTAACAATTTCACTTCTGTCTATAATATTTTAAAAAGACATCAATATCCTTCAACAGAAGACTAGTTAAGTAATTTAAGAGAGAATATTCAGCTGTTTAAAAGAATAAGGGACATCTATACATAGCATCATAGAAAGAGGTCCACACTACACATGTAAGTGACAAAAGCAAGTGGCAATAAATCATGTCTATAGAAAAAAAACACTTTAAGGCATATATTTATACATATGTATACATATTGGTGGGGGAGGATGTTATATGTAAACACCTATGCTTTAGAAGGTTTAGGAAGAATTCATTCCAAAGACTTAATAGCGGTCACCACGAGGGAGTAGGATAGAAGAGAGAATATTTTACTTTATACATTTCTGTACATTTTAAAAAAATATTTTAGTTCCCCACTTGAATCAAATGTATGAAATATGATATGTCAAGAGCATTGTAATGTTTTGAACAATAATAAAAAATATTTTAGTTGTACTTGGACACAATATCTTTATTTATTTTTGTGTGGTGCTGAGGATCGAACCCAGTGCCTCACACGTGCGAGGCAGGCTCTCTACCACTGAGCTACAGCCTCAGCCCCAATTTCTGTACATTTTTTAAACAATGGATATATATTACTTGTATAGTAAGAACTTCTTGAAAATTTAATTAATAAGCACAACTGTAAGAATTTAGTAGTCAGGCACAATGGAGCCTGTAATCCCAGGGACTTGGGAGGTAGAGGCAGGAGGATTGCAAGTTTGAGGCCAGTGTCAGCAAATTAGTGAGACCTGTCTCAAAATAAAAAATAAAAAAAAGGACTGGGAATGTAGCTGAATGGAAGAGCATCCCTGGGTTCAATTCCCAGTACAAAAGAAACAAAAAGAATTTAGTGTCTGACTTTCCAAAAATAAATCTTTTTTTTTTTTATATAAAAAGTGAATTTCTTAACTTTCAGTAGTGTAATAGAATCTTAAATGGTAAGTAAATTAGTTGTGTGATAGGCATGTTAACATGTATTTCTACTCATGTCCTATGCCCAGATTTTTTATGAAAAACCTCATATTTGAAATAGGTTAGTGTTGATTTCTTTCTGTTTTCTAAATTTCTTCATAGAAATAAGAATCTTGACAATTTCCTCATGGCATTATTGTACTATTTATCTCATTACTTGGAAAAAAACTCGCTGGAAAAGAAGCCCCAAAGCTATATGGTGTAAGTAAGTTCTGTAAGTGCTTTTTATCATAGCCAGTTTAAAAGTAACTTTTATCTAAGGTGAAGAGATAATGGAATTTTAAAAATCTTTTGGGTGTACATGGGAGAATTTTTCCTGTTTTTAAAGCTCATTGAATAATGGGTATTCCGTACAACAAAATATTCCAACTAATAAAGAATAACAGTACCCAATAATGAGATTTAATGAAAGCCACATTAGTAATTTAAAAAATTTTAGTAACCATATTTTTAAAAGATGCAGGTTAAATTAGTTTTAACAGTTATTTTATTTAACCCTATGAATGGAAAATATTATTATAACAAGTAGTCAATACTAGGAAGTGATTAATGAGATATTTTACTTTTTTTATGAAATAAGTCTTTGAAGCCTGGTGTCTTTTATACTTACAATATATCTCAATTGAAATTAGCCACATTAAATGCTCAACAGCCACATGTAGTTAGTAGCTACCATATCCAGTAGTGCAGAAATAGATTTATTTTGTTATGCTTTATATGCTAACAAAAGTTCTTGCTAAAGGGTTTGTAAGCATCTAATAAAAAAGTTAAGATTTTTTTTTTTTTTTAAATAACAGATTTGGCCAAAATGACATCACAGGAAAAAACCCCAAACTTTCTTAGGCTACTTGTAAAGAACTTAATTGCTTTACACAGAGGTGGCTTAGAGATATACACCCAGGAGCAAGCTCTGGGAACTTGGAGTCCACAGCAGAACAATGCCTTGCAGACTTGGCCATGACCTTTCACAAGCATGGAACTTTCCAAGTGCCCAGCTGCCCTCCTCGTACATGTGGAACCAACCCAGTGACTTAGCTGTTAGGAATGTTGAATAGAGCCATTAACTTGCTACAGAGTATTTTGAAATGCAAAACTCCTGTATATAATCAAACAGTTTGAAAAACATTTTATGGATAGAGAAATAGTTTCTGGATAGCAGTTTTGTAAAGGATCAAATAAATAATTCAAACACTGCTGCTACCGTAAAGCTATCATAATGTGGAATGCGGGTGTTGTTTCAGGGCAACCTTTCACAGTAAGACAGCCAGAGCATGCAGTGTTTCTATGGTAGCAAGCAAAAGGGCTAAAGCAAGTGTGAGCTTCGAAGGTACAAGGATTCTTACTATTCCCAAGTAGAAACTTATTAGACTTTGGTGGTATTTTGGCTTATTTTGTATGGTCTTTTCTAATTTTGAGGCTTATTGCTAATCTAGCAAATAAATTTGTTTTATATCTTAATTAACAGGTAACAGAAAAGAAAGATTCCTTAGTTATTTTTAAAATGCATGAAAACTCTTTAGAACATGGAGGTGTAAGACTGTTTCTTAAAAGGAATCAATTACAGAAATGAGCAAAAGCAAAGTAGGCCTTAAAATGATTGATTCTGGGGTTTGATTCTAAAAAAGCATTATAACCTTTCATTTTCAGGCTTTCCAGTAGTCAGTCCATTTACTTATTATTTAGAAGTAAACATAGATTGCAATGTGATATCAGCACAGAAAAAAAATTGATTTCAGTCCAACTAGCATAGGGATAATGATAGTGCCTAATTCACAGTGTTGCACAGAAATAAACGAGATAGTGTCTTCTCTTAACCCAGTGGTCACACTTGGGAAGAAAGCTTGCATCCTGTGAGAGGAGGGCAGAAAGAAATGGAGAAAGATGTCAAAGATGCATTGTGTGTGTGTGGGGGGGCTTAAATGAACTCTAGAGAGGGGAAAAGGGGAAAAGGGGAGGGTGTGGAAGGGAGTGGGCAGAGGGGTAGGAAAGATGGTGGAATGCGATGGTCATCATTACCCTAAGTACATGTATGAAGACACGAAGATTGTGACTCTACTTTTGTGTACAACCAGAGATATGAAAAATTGTGCTGTATATGGGTAATATGAATTGTATGTCTTTGGTTGTCATATATAACAAATTAAAATTTAAAAAAAATTTTAAAAATACAGCAAAGTAAATTGTGTAGCCAAGGGCAGGGGGAGATGCATTTAGATGATACTAGATGGTTAAAAGCCCTAATTCCAGAAAAAGAAAACTATTCCCCATTTAAAGATGAAAACATTAAGGCTCAGAGAGGTGAAGTAATTTGTTGAAATGACATACCTACTAAGTAGTAGAGATGAGGCTAGAACCCAGGTCTAACTCAAAAGCCTGTGCTTAACCACACCCAGCACCTTCTATTGATCAACTATGGGTCTGTTTCCAGAGTTCATCCATTCAGAATCAAGATTTATAGCTCTGAACAAGACACAATTTTGCCTGAGTTTATAAACACTGTACCATAAACATTTTTCAAGTTATGATCTCCTTTATGATTTTTAATGGTGGCACAACTTTCCATAAAGTAAATGACTTGACTTTAGCTATTAAGGGGTAATTTATTACAGTGGTTAAGGTTGCATATTTTGGTGCCTGGGTTAAATCTCATAGGTTTAATATGATCATTTCTGTGGCTCTTTAAATTTTTTTTTTTTTTTTTTTTTGGTATAGGGGATTGAACTCAGGGGCACTCGACCACTGAGCCACATCCCCAACCCTTTTTTATATTTTATTTAGAGAAGGGTCTCACTGAGTTGCTTGATGCCTCGCTTTTGCTGGCTTTGAACTCGCTATCCTCCTGCCTCAGCCTCCTGAGCCACTGGGATTACAGATGTACACCACCACACTCCAGTTGAAATTCTTTTCAGATGTTTATTTCACAGTATTATGCTGATTTTTCTCTTACTGAAGCATCAATTTCAGCAAAATTTTTCTCTTACTGAAGCATCAATTTCAGCAAAATTTGTCATTCTTGTCATTTACTTTTTTTTTTTTTTAATAGTTCTGGGAATGGAACCCAGGGCCATGCTAGTCAAATGCTCTACCATTAAGCTGCACCCTGGCATTTTTAAAGAATATACTTGTTATTTCAGGTGAACTATTAATTTAGTGTTTATGGCTGTTTAAGGCAGTGCTTCAGAATGAAGTAAAAAGGCTGAAACATTATAGGGAATGGTTTTTCAGATATAGAATTTTTCTTTTTCTTTTCTTTTCTTTTTTTTTTTTTTTTTTTTGTACCAGGGATTGAACCCACGAGCACTTACCCACTGAACCAAATCCCCAGCCTTTTATTTTGAGGCAGGGTCTCACAAGGTTGCCCACAGCCTTGCTAAATTGCTGAGAGTAGCTTTGAACCTGAGATCCTCCTGCCTAAGCTTCCCAAACTGCTGGGATTACAGCAAAATAAGGCTATTAGCTTCTGGCAGCTTTGACAAAGGAAGGTTGAAGGTGCAGGAAGCAGGGAGACAGGCACTGTGATGTGGCCATTGGGGCTCATGTGGAGGGGTGTGTTTGGGTTACATGGCATTTGGACACTTAATATTGGAGCCTACTGGAAAAAGATACATTCATACATTGCTGGTGGGAATGCAGATTGGTGCAAAAATTATGAAAAGCAATATGGAGATTCCTCAGAAAACTTGGAATGAACACCATTTGACCCAGCTATCCCACTTCTTGGTTTATACCCAAAGGACTTAAAATCAGCTTATATAGTGATGCAGCCACATCATGTTTATAGCAGCTCAATTCACAATAGCTAAACTATGGAACCACCCAGATGCCCTTCAACAGATGAATAGATTTTAAAAAATGGAATATTACTCATCCTTAATAAAGATTGAAATTATGGCATTTGCAGGTAAATGGATGGAGCTTAATTCTAAGCAAAATAAGCTAGTCCCAAAAAACCAAGAGCCAAATGCTTTCTCTGATATGTGGATGCTAATCCATGATGGGGAGCAGCTAGAGAAGAATATAGTTACTTTAGGTAAAGGGGAGTGAAGAGAGAGGAGCGGGTATGGGGTTAGAAAGGATAATAGAACAAATCAGGCATTATTACCCTATGTTTGTATATAACTATATGACCAGTGTGATTCTACATCATGTACAATCAGAAGAATGAGAAATTATACTCCATTATATATGATGTATCAAAGTGCATTCTACTGTCATATATAACTAATTAAAACAAATTAAAAATAAAATTTAGGGCTGGGGATGTGGCTTAAGTGATAACGCACTCTCCTGGCATGCGCCGGGCGCTGGGTTCGATCCTCAGCACCACATAAAAATAAAAATAAAGATGTTGTATCCACCGAAAAACTGAAAAATAAATATTAAAAAATTCTCTCTCTCTCTTAAAAAATAAAATAAAATTTAAAAAGTTGGAGCCCACTTTATCTATTCAAGAAACTCATTTTATTCTAGTGATTTCCAAGCCTTTTATCATGTGTAATAATGTTTTGTGCTCTGAAACAGCCATATTATCCTTAAAGTCACCATTTCCCCTCACAGCATATATTCATCTAGTCATTGTAGTGGTTAACCTCAGAAGGGATAGTAATTTGTTTTTGTTTACTGTGCATTTCATTTGGTATCTAGTGATTAACAGTGCACTGGAATGTATTGTCAAGAATATAGTTCCCTATTGTGCTGCAAAAAAAATTTAAAATTAGGATTCAGATATGTTGCAACCTAAAAAAAGACTGTCTTTTACAAAGATCATTTGCAATTCAGTTGGAGCTGGGGCTGTGTTTTCACAGGGAAGCAATGTTATTATAATTGACACCCAAGTTCCCAGAATAGTTGACCACAAATGCCTCTTTAGCAACACACCTAAACTCAGAACTGAGAGTGGCCCAGTGCTGTACTTGAAGCCTCCAAGCTTAATAGAAACACCAGGAACGGGGAAAGCTGAGGTGGCAAGGAGTCTCTACAGCAGCTTTGAGAACACAGTAGAAAGAAAGGCTGCCAGCTGCCTCAGCAACCAGTATGGGTCACTTGTTAGTTGAGCTGTTCTATAGATATTAGGACTAGCTGTATATAAAATTGAGGCTCCATAGATAGCAAAAAGAATCTATCTATAAACAAGTGAAAATTGACCATAAACTTTGAGTTGCTGATTCTAGTGATTAATAATGATTTAAGGGACTTTGAGGATTTTCCTATGTCATGGCTCAAATAAAACAAATGAATTGGTAAGTCAGGTGTGTTGACTCACTAGTATATCTTTCAAAAAAGTTTATAATTCAGACTTTAAAAATGCTAATTAATAGGCATTTACTCAAATTAATCCATATTGTCTTTTTCTTCCCTCTAGGGGCCTTGTAGAGAAAAAAGAGATGGAGCTGGTTTTAAGTAAGTTAGAAGCAGCACAGAAATATTTGGCTCAGAAGTACTGTGTCCTTGTGCTGGGGTTGGGCATGCCTGATAAGCATCACATGTGCTGTGGAAAGTAAGTGTGCACTCCAGATGCCATTAGATCGTGACATCCTTAGGACCCTTGCATTTGACTTCTGGTACTGGGGGGAAAAGCATTTCCTTTTTGTTGTCCAGAATAATTGGGCTCAGGTAAAATCTGCCCCAAGCACTGGGGGTTGTCTGCTTTGAGAGAGCCAAGTGAGTATGGAAGACATCCCAGAATCTCAGTTAATATCTATTTATTTAGGTACGGAATTGAACATAAGGGTGTTTTACCACTGAGTTGCATCCCCAGCCCTTTGTTTTTTATTTTGAGACAGGGTCTCGCTAAATTCCCGAAGGCTGGCCTCGAATTTGCCGTGCTTCTGCCTGAGGCTCCAGAGTTACTGAGATTATAGGTGTGTGCCATGACACCCGGCTCAGCTGATATTTAAAAATTCTCCCCTGCTTGTGATTAAATGACTTGATTTCTCAGTGGAATCTTGCTCTCAACCAGGAGGGATTCCTATGCTAGGCAGGGCTACTGGTGGCCTCTAGTATATACCGAGTGATAGACCAATGTTGGTGGGGGATGGAATGTCTGCTTGTTTTGCAACTGCCAGGAAGAGCTGCAGAGGTAGGGGTTATAAAATAACACTGTCTATGGAATACAATTTTTGTCTTAGGATGATAATGTTTGCATAATTGTAATTGAAATTTAAAAAGGGGTCTCATCACCAGAAAGTTGGAGATCATAGGAAGAAAAACTTTGATCCTTAACCCCAAATCTCCCCCTGAACAGTTTCATGACAAGCCCAAGAGCGATGCCATGGCCATAGCCAGAACTTAAAAAAAAAACCCTCAATAGGAAAAGAACACAATACATGATATACCTCTCTCTAAATCCCCCATGTTTTCAAAGATATCTTTGTCCATGAACATACTTACCCAGTTGTTCCTATGTATTTTTTGTGTTCTACATTTCCTGTGTGCTCTCCTCTCTTATTCTGCATACATAATTTCACTTATTACTTTCCATAGCAGCTGGAGTTATCCTGTTGTATACCCATTGCTTAACCATCCCTTTTGTAAACATTTACATGGTTTCAGTTTTTCTGTTTTATTGTAGTTTGTATTGCTTTACATAAATTATTTTGTTCATATGGACTATTTCCTTATGGCTTATTACCCAGAATGTATTTACCTATAGGGTACAAACAATTGTTAAAAAGCTCTTCATAACATATTGCCAGATTGTGCTCCAAAAAGGTTCATTCCAGAGGTAGTGGTATGTGCTGATAGTCCCAGCATTTGGGAGGCTGAGGCAGGAAGATCACTGGAGCCCAAGAGTTTGAGGCCAGTCTGGACAACATAGGGAGACCCCTTCACCAACCAACCAACCAAGACCAACCAACTGAAAAGAATCCAGAGCCCTCCACAGACCTCCTGCATGGGAGGCTGGGAAAAGTGATTTCAAAAAAATTAAAACCTTTTTTATTGCCCTCAGCAATAAGCATATTTGGTTGTGTTGGATTTTATTATTTTAATATTTTTGATAGTTTAAAGGTGTATTAAAAGCTTAAAGATGTTTTACATGAATGAATATTTTTCAGGCTTTTAGAGTCTCTGCTCTTTTTCTTTTTAAAATTATTCACTGCCTACTCATTTAGTTTCAACCATTTACCAAGGGGGAATTGGAAAAGTTTTTAATTTCTTTATTTACATCCTATACCAAGGATTGATCATTTGTATTTTTTAGTTTGTTGCTTTCTTTTGAATATTTATATGTTTAAACATTAGAAAAATGTTTTTTATTTATTCAAACATGTCCACCTTGTTTCTGATATTTGATAGTCATACAAGTTCTTGTGGTTCTTGAGTTAAACTTATTATCTTTCTTTTTAATTTTTTAAAATTAGCATTTTAAAGAAATGTGACTTTGCTCCATTTGAAATCTGTTACAACATATCAGATGAACTATGAATTTTATTTTTTTAACTAATATCAAACTTTCTAGTAATATCTATTAATGATTTTTTTCTCCACAGTAACATGTCTTGTTAGATTTTGAATTTTTCTAACATTTTAACCCAATTTGGTAAATTCCTATTGATTTTTTCCCCCCAGTACTGGGAATTGAGTCAGGGCTACTCTATCTTTGAGTACATTCCCAGCCCTTTTATTTTTTTGATATAGTGTCTTATAGTTTATATAGTCTTATATAGTTTCCCTGTCTGACTCTGAACTTTTGATCCTCTTGCCTCAGCCTTCCAAGTAGGTGGGATTATAGGCATGGACCAACACATCTGGCTTGCAGTCATTATTTCTTTCTGTATCTTTTAAAAGTATAGATAGTCCTTACACATTCGGCTTTCCACAGCCTGCTTTTCCTTATGGTAATGCTCCTAAACCAATTTGTTTTTAAAATTACAAGTCATAGCATATTGGTAGATCTTGAAATCAATGTAGTTGTGAAGAGAATAAAATAGTTTTAAAAAATAAGTATATCTGGCGTGAAAGTAATAAATAGAAATCCATAGTCCAGGGATACTTCAATAAACAACTGAAAAAAAAATAAGTATATCTGGGGCTGGAGTTGTGGCTCAGTGGTAGAGCACTTGCCTGGCATGTGTAAGGCCCTGGGTTCAATCCTTAGCACCACATATAAATAAATAAATAAAGTAAAAAAATCCATTGACAACTAAAAATGTTTTTTAAATTTTTTTTTAAAATCAAGTATATCATATGAAATAAAGATAAGTATTTTTTCAGGATACTTTTGTGTCTATGTCTTAGTATGTTTTGAGTTGCTTTAACAAAATACTTGAGGCTGGGTTCTCTATTATTATTCTCTAAATAACAGAGGTTTAATGAGCTCATAGAACTGGTGTCCAAGAGCATGGTACCAAGCTTCACTTTTGGTAAGGACCTCATGGCAGATAGCATCAAAGGTGGGAAGTGGAGAGAGAGTGAAGATAGAGAAGACAGAGGAGTCAGATGTTGGGACACAGTGTACAAGATAGATCATATGGTGGGAAAGGAAACAAGAAATCAGGGAGAAAGCAGGCTTGCTCTTTTTTTCCCCCCCTAATACTAGAGATTGAACCCAGAGTGTTCTGCTACTGAATCACATCTCAGCCCTTTTTATTTTTTGAGACAGAATCTTGCCAATTTGCCAAGACTGGTCTCAAACTTGTGATCCTCTGGACTTAGCCTCCCAAGTCCCAGGTATTACATGCATGTGCCACTGTGCCTGGCCAGGCTGTCTCTTTAACAACCTGTTATGAAACTAATCCACTTCTATGAGACCCAACCCAACTCTCCATAATACCAGCATCAATCCCTTGTAGTGGTGACTGCCATCTTCCACTAGGTCTCACCTCTTAAAGGTCCCACTCCCTTTCAATACTGTCACCTTGGGTAAGTAAGCCTCAGCTTATATTTCAGCAAGGACAAACCAGATTCACACCATAGCAGTCAATGTGTGTATTCTAGGGACTCAATATTAAGTATGTTTCTTGCTGTGAGTTACAATTTAAAGAGTCTGAAAGCCACTGCGTTACAGCATCCTTTCTGTACCACAAGCACTCTTGTGTTTTCATAAGAATTTTGCTTTGCTCAGCCTTTCAAGCAATTATACCATAGTGTTGTTTGTCAGCTAATTGTTCAATTTAGACAGTTGTGTTAATTTGTTGGGCCATTTGAATACACTATTGAATTTCCCCTATATTTTAGAAAAAGATAAGTGGAACATTGGAAAATCAAGTACTGCTAATTCAAATCTAGAAACCATTGAGCATGTGGAGAATCTTTAGCTGCATTCAAATGCTCGAGACTAAAGTAGAACAAATGTGGGTTTGATTGCAAAAGACAAGACCTTGCACATGCTAGTCAAGTGCTCTACCACTGAATCATATCTTCAGCCCTTTTTTGTTTTTTATTTTGAGATAGGGTCTTGCTAAGATGACCAGATTGGCCTTGAACTTAGGATCTTCCTGCCTCAGCCTCTGAATACCTTGGATGACAAGTGTGTGCCACTGCTCCCAGCTACAATCTTTTCCATGTGTGGTTTTTTTTTTTTTTTTGGTGCAGTAAAATTATATACAATAGTGGGTTCATTGTTACATATTTGTATATGCACCTGATATAACAATATAATTTGGTCATTATTGTCCTCCAATATTTCCCCTTTCCCCCTCCTCCTTTTTCCTTCTTACAATACAATTTTTAAAGGAAACTATGATGTTTGAAAGTAGGTGATTGCCTCTGGTTAGCACAAGGTCCTGGTCCCTTTTCCACCATCTGCAGTATCACTTGCTTTTCTTCTGCCCATTGGATGGCAGTTTGGAGAAGAACAGGCTTAGAGCTCACCATGCACCATTTATGTATCAAATTCCATACATGTCAAAGGACTGACATGTATGGAACAAAGGATTTAGAGGAAAGCAGATTGCAGGATAGTTCTGCCAGTGAGTTGTTAATGGCCATAATGGCCATGGATGTTGATTATGTCCTTGATTCATGGATTTATAGTATTCTTTTGGTGGGCTTTTTTTTTTTTTTTTTTTGCACTGGGGATTGAACTCAGGGACACTTAACTATTGAACCACATCCCTAGCCCCCTTTTTTTTTTTTTTGTATTTTATTTAGAGACAGAGTCTCACTGAGTTGCTTGGGACCTTGCAAAGTTGCTGAGGCTGGCTTTGAACTCACAATCCTCCTGCCTCAGCTTCCTGAGCCACTGGTATTATAGGCCTGTGCCACCGTGCCTGGCATTGGTGGGTTTTATGTAGAAAATGAGGACAGTGATTTTTTCAGTTATAAGTAATTAGCTGATTTTAACATGTCTTTATTTCACTTTAATTTGAATAAGCTAATATTTTCATGTGGGTTTTCTAATTTTTCCCTCTAACACATGCATGGCTAATATTGGACTAGAATACCTCATGCCATTTATCTCTGGAGTTAGAGTGAAGATTATAGTAGAACCAATAATTTGGGGCTGTTAATCTAGTGCTTTCATGTCACTTGAGAAGTAAGAGAAGATGCTTCTCTATACTAAACACATCTGTGAAAATCCAGTATCACATAAATCAGCAAAATTTTGATGAATGTGTTCAGTAAAATTTATCTGAGTGTTGGAAATACATGCAAAAGCCTCCTTTTTGGTGTAAACTATAGACTTAGATCTGTTCTTTGGTTGTAGCTAGTACAGGCTTCATCCTCACCCCCATCCTAGGATATGAACCTTCTTCCTACACTCTCAGTGTGGCTGTCTCCTCATGGTGGACCAAAGAGGCTGGTGGTGGAGGTAAAGATAGAGAGAAAAGTAGGCTCTTTGAAACGCAGGTGTAAACATCATCTTTTTAAAAATTTTTGAGGTGGTGGGTGTGACTATATTGCCCAAATTGGTCTTAAATTCCTGGGCTCAAATTATCCTCCTGCCTCAGCCTTCCAAATAGCTGGGAGGACAGATGCATGCCACAACACACAGCTCTAAATCACTCTTAAACCTGCCTCCCAGCTCAGTCACATGCATTAAGGACTCTTTCCCCTCTCCACCAACACATCTTTGAAACTTCTTTTTCCTTGTATAGGGCAGAATTTGACCTTCATTTAGTTTAGATCTTGAATGTCTCTCAAAGACTCATGAGTTAAAGGCTTGGTCCCCAGGATGGGAAGTGGCAGAGGCTTGAAGAGGTGGAGCTTAATGAGAAATCCTTAGCTCATTATGGTTGTGCCCTTGAAAGGGATTGTGGGGCCCTGGCCCCTTCTTCCTCTGCTCTCTGGTTCATGAGGTGAGTGAGTGATTTTGCTACAACATGTGCTTTGGCCATGATGTGCTACCTTGTTGCAGAACCAAAGCAATAGACCAGCTGATGATGGACTGAAGCCTCCAACACTATGGACCAAACTGAACCTTCTCTCTCTCTCTTTTTTTTTTTTGAGAGAGAGAAAACCTTTTTTTTTTTTTGTAGAGGGACATAACAGAATGACTTTATTTTTATGTGGTACTGAGAATCGAACCCAGGTCCCGCGCACACTAGACGAGCGCTCTACTGCTGAGCCACAATCCCAGCCCCATGAACCTTTTCTCTTATAAGTTAACTCTCTTGGGAATTTTGTTATGGTGATGGAAACTTACCAACACACTTGATTTCACCTAAAGCCATAGTGGGCAAATGGGAAAACACAATTTTTTCTTTTCCCCAGCCTAGAGCCTAGGTTCAAACCTTGGCTCTAGGCTTTATATCCTTTCACAATAACTAATAATATACTTTCTTCATTTTGATTTAGAGCTAACAATCTAAAGTAGCAACAAGGAATAAGAAAGAATCTTAATAGGCCACTGCAAAAAAAAAAAAAATCTCTGGATTTACCATCAGGTCACCTTTCCCTTCTTTCCTTTGGATTGTGCCCTCAAAGGTGGATTATACAGTGCTCTTGCAGACCAGCATGGTAGCCACTTGCCATATGTGGTTACCGAGCATTTGAAATGTAGCTTCAAATTGAGAGATGCTATAAGTGTTAAATATATGCAGTATATAAAATATGTACAAAAAGCTTTAAGGTAAATAAAATACCTTATCAATTTAAAATATTGAGTATATATTGAAATGATATTCCAGGAATTTGGATAAAATAAGTATATTGTTAAAATTAACATCACCATTTTATTTATTTATTTTTTTATTTTGCAGTGCTGGGGATCAAACCTAGGGCTTTGTGCTTGCTAAGCAAGTGAGCTATACCCCCAGCTCCACCTGTTTGTTTGTTTTTTTTTTTTACCATGGCTGCTAGAAATTTTAAAATTATATTTATGGCTTACCTTATGTTACTATTGGATTGTGCTATTACAAACCTTGTTTAATTTTGCAGGTGATTTTGGCAGAGGAGGAGGTGTCTTACATTCTTTTAATCAAAAAATTTCTAAATGATTTTAGGTTCTATGTACTTAATATAGAAATTATAAAATACAAAAAAAAAAAAGAGAAAATGATCCACAGTTCACCAGCAACAGATGAATTTACAGAGATTGAACTGTGAGATCCCAAACAGTGCCCCTGCCGCACATCCATTTCCTGGACTCATTTCAGTTTCCCTCACAGAGATAAATCAGAATGGCAAGACCCAGTCTTCCATTCTTCATTTCCCAGGTGTGGGCCACATCAGTTTGCTTTAGGCTTTAAGAGAGATAAGAGTTCAGGTATTTATACCAATTTGAAGGAAAGTGAAGGACGTTCATGTTACCTTTCCTTCTAAACTAAAAAATGAAAGAGAGAGAGAGAGTGGGAGAATGTGTGTTTCATGGACGTCACTCTCTAATTTCAAAACCTTGCCAAGATGCTGTCTCTCTAAACTTTTCTCCCAGAACATAAGCTGACTCATTATTCCAAAAACAGTTTGTTTGGTTTTCTGCTTCAGCTTGGCAGGTCTGCATGGGCTCTAGTTTCAATCTGGTAGAGGTATGAAAGGGCAGAAATTCTTCAGGTGAGGCCTGAATAAACCAAAGAAACATGGAAGCTTTCTTTCCCTGAAAAGTTTCTGCTGGACTCTGTTGTTCAATATTTTTATCTGCAAACTATTCTAAAGAAAAAGCCATTTCCCAAGCATTCTGGTTATGAGGACAGATGTATATATCTTACAGACATGAATTTTAGCACAAGATCTGTCCCTACTTAAACATATATATTTGGTTTTTAGTCTCAACTTTAGTTTTTTTTTAGTTGTAAGTGGGAATAATAGTGCTGACTACTTCATATGGGTATTATGAAGACTAAATATGGTAATCAATATAAAGGTTTCAGCATGGTATCTGGCACATAGTCTGCACTTAATGTAATTATTGTTGCCTTAATTTTGTGTTGAAGACTTGTACATGAGGAATCCAATATACAAAGAAGCAGGTAGGACAAGAGCTGTAAAAGATGAGCCAGCTCTTTGGGCTCATGCCCCAGTGGAAGGCCGCTTTGGGCCAGTAAAAACCAAAGTCCCTGGAAGAAGGATGGAGATCCTGAGGATTGGAATTATCTTCCCTAGACTTTCCAGGATGGTTCTGGAAAGCCTGGTCCCAGGACCAATCCTAGAATCCTAGGAATCACAGTTACTCCAAGGAAGGCACAAGAAAAAGCAGAAGTGAAACCAGCTTCAACCTTGGAGTACCCTGGGTCTGACCTCCTTCCCCATGACTGATGGAGTGACTGCAGGTACACAGCCCCCACAGTCAACTCTCAAGAACTCTTCAGGACATGCCTGCTTCCCTAAAGCTGAAAGTCAAAATCAAAACAACCCATGTAGGATGCAAGGTCAGGTTTACTAAGCATGCTCATCCCAGTACAATAGCCTTAACAATGAATTTGTGTTGCAAGGACTGCTGGGCAAATATCTGCCTTTAAGAGTAAGGCTCAGGTCTGGGTGTGTGGTTTAGCAAGAGAGAAAAAGCTCCAGGCTCCTTAATGTCAGATGTTACTCAGAAGAAGGAGGAGCACAATATAGTTCTTAGTCTGTTGATTGTGTGGTGTTGATTTTATTAATTTTGTTTCTGTTTCTTTTTTGTATCCAATAGCCAAAACCTTTGTTTTTCTTCATTCTATACTTACCCTCTAGTTCTGTGCAACCGCATCTATTTATCACTTCACATAACCTGTTTACCACCTTCCCACTCTCCTCATGTCCCCAACACATCACCAGAAGCACATCACCAGAAGCATTTGAAAATATACAATTTCTCATTGGTTTGTTTATTTTGAATTTATGTTGGCTTTTTTTTTTTTCTTTAGGGTATTGGGGATTGAACCCAAGGGCACTTTACCACTGAATCACATTCCCAACTCTTTTTTATTTTTTTTTTATTTTGAGACAGGGTTTTGCTAAGTTGCTTAGGGCCTTGCTGAGTTGCTGAGGCTGGGTTTGAACTTGCCATCTTCCTGCTTCAGCCTCTGGAGCTACTGGTATTGAAGGCATGCACCACCGTGCCTGGTGATTTTGGTTAATTTTTGCCCAAACACTCCAGAGGTTTTGACCTGGGTCACCTAGGAAGTTGAATAGAAGGCATTTGTATTCTCTTTGCCTTCTGCTAGCATTCATGTAGCTAATTGTCTTGGAGCCACAGGTCATGAGCCTACATTTTGGGAAAGATAAGAGCTAGAATATTAAAGATTAAACTTCCCTCTCAGCCTATTGTTATAATGTGCTATGTTGCAGGGAGAAAATGTCAGACACACAAAAAGACTGGAAATTCTTCGAGGTGAGTCACATTTTAGGGATTTTCTTTGTGCTGTGATACATAGTGCATAGCAATGATGAATAGTCATTTCTTAGGCACTTATTTTGGTGAATATTCTTTCTTAAAAAAATGCTAACAAGCCACATAGTACACCTTAGGATTTTGGTCTGATTTTCCTCCCATGAAAGTGAGTACATGTCCAATTTTTCATGGCTTTCCAGGGATATTGAGAAATTGTGTCATCTACTTTGCAATGTTATATGAACAGTTGAGAGTTTTTCTTATCATTTCTGAAAGTCATGATTCTTGTCTGTTTTTTGTCATAGTCCTTATTCACTTTCTGTACATACGTAGCATGGATTGTCTTCCAACGTCAACACTTGACAGAGATCAAGGAAGAAATAGGAAGGCTCTTCCGCTCCAATATGTTCAATATTCCTCGAAGGAAACGGGAGGATGAAGAATCAGGAGGGGAGAAGAAACGCATGACTTTTGTACAATTCAGGTTTGATCTCTTTTGTAAACTTGAGGCTGTTTCTAGACAGCTGGATAAGGTGATCTAAATGGCATCTTTCTTCTCCCACAGGCGAATGATGGCAAAACGCCCAGCCATTAAAAAAGCTGTTAACATGCGTTCTCCAGTACTGTCTACTCTGCTGCCATCTCTCAGAGAAAAAGCTCAGAATATCGTTGAGAAAAAGTATCATCTAGTAGGCATCAAACTCCCAGGCCGGGTGCAAAAACACATGCAAAGTCTGGACTCTGTGCCCATGTCAGTGTAAGTGACTCAGGAGGGAGGCCAGATAGCCTGAGGGTTGGACCTGGAAAGGGCAGGGGCTCAGCACCATCCATGCCTCTGCCAGAGAATTGAATGAAGACAAGGCATCTGTGTTTCCATGAATCCCCTGCTCCTGGCTGTCTGTTTCCTGTCCAGAGCAATTCTAGTTATATCCATTGAGATTAGAAAAAAATCATTAGAAAGTTATGCTAGACTCCAAATATTTCTAACTTGGAGAAGTAAGTAACAGATTCTTTAAGGCTGATGTTTATGTATTGTAAGAATCATCTTTGGAAAATTTAGGAAGGGTCAATACAAAATCTTGCTGTGGATTGAGTTTTGGATTCATATGTCAGACCACAGTGGTTATTCATGAAATAGAGACAACTTTCAAAAAAGTGTGTGTGTGTGTGTGTGTGTGTGTGTGTGTGTGTCTGTCTGTCTGTCTGTCTGTCTTAGTTTTAGTATACTACCTCAGCTATACCAACAATTCTTTTTACAGAGTTGGCATTTTGGGGGAGCCACGATGTCTGTTCAACCCTCATACCCTTCTCCCCCTTGAACCAAAAGAAAATGCAAAATCATCTAAAAGACTTCCATCCCTGGTAGAGAGAAATAACATCCAGATTCAGGACGCACTGGAGTCATGAAAACATTGTCTTCTTAAATATGCCCTAAATAATCTGGTATATTTCACTTCTGTAATCAAGTCCCAGCACTTGAGGTAAACTACTTCAACTTAACTGCTTGATATAGGATCAATATGTGTGTTATTATTATTAAACTTTTTAAGTTATTCAAGTTAATTTTGTTTGTACAAGTTATTTTGTCAAAAGTTCAATAGACTATTAAATAATTCCAGAAATCTCTTGAAAGTTCATTTTCTTATTTTTATTAGTTTATTTTGTTACTTTCTTGCTTCCTCTACTTCAGTGTGACTCTTCAAGAGTATTAGGCCACTTAGCTAGTATTTTAGTTGACTGGTGAAGAAGCATTCATTTCTAAATCCAACTTTGCCTTATGAAAAAGCATCTTTGGTATGTGTGTAAATAAAATTTCAGAAACAAAAAAGGCAAATTAAAAATTTAACACTAAGCCAGGCATGATGGAGCACCCCCTCTAATCCCAGCAACTCTGGAGGCTGAGGCAGGAGGATTACAAGTTCAGTTCAAGGCCAGCCTGGGAAACTTAGCAAGACCCTGCCTCAAAATAAAAATCAAAAGGGTTGGGGATGTAGTTTAGAGGTAAAGTGCCCCTGAGTACTATCCCATACATGCACCCCCCCCCCAAAAAAAAAGTTTAACCAGTACCTAGGTGGCACCTGGTATTGTAGAGATGATTGACATGCTGTCTTCATTCAGGTTTCTCCCTGAGCAGGGCAAGGAAAAGAAGGCTAGAAGTCAGATATAAAGAGAAACAGTGTGACTCAGCTTAAAGGAGAGAGGTTTTCAAGTTGGGGATGGAGGGATGGATATGGAGATGGATCTTGAAGTTGTGTGGAGCCTGAACAGGCAGCTATGGGTGGAAGATACCAGGGCTCAGACCTGAAAACCCCATGGCCAGGCCTTGTTTAGTGGAGGTGAGCTATGGGGTTGGTGGGGGTAGTAAGCACTTAGGAAAGATGGAGCTATTTTATTGCTTAAGCTTTTGTCAGTGGCTGCAGAACTGTCTTCTAGTTTGGCCATCGTCTTAAGGCCACCTACTCCCTGGTTCTGCTTCTGATGCCTATCTGTGTCAACATTTCTGTCTTTGCATTTATTTTGGGCTTCAATTCCATCATAGATACAAACCATTCCTGTTTAGGACTTAACATGTGGCATTCTGATCTCCGCTAATCTCCATACCAAGAAAGAAAAGTAGATTTGACTCCTCCATTCATGGACCTCCCTCTAAACAAGTTTTAGGTTGCAAAAGAAAGTTTCTGGGGCTGAGAGCCCAGTGAACTCCCCCCTTGTTTTATTGACAGGCTGTTGTGCTTCCATCTCCAGAGCAGTCTGATTGGCAGTAGGTTCAAAAAGTTGTTCTGTGTCCAGAGTTTGCTAGCAACATACTGCTAGCATGCCCTCTCTCTCTCTCTCTCTCTCTCTCTCTCTCTCTCTCTCTCGATAATGTCTAAGGCAGTCTAGGTGATCCATGCCAAAGGGCTTGGTATGGCAGATCACTTCTTTTGCAAATAATCTCCCTTTTCTTCTTTGGGCAAAGATTCATTCTCATTTCCTTTACTTCTCCTAACTCAAACCCAGAGGCCTAAGCAGAGCAAAAGAAAAATGCGCTGGGTCTTAGAACCTCAGTCAGGTCACTCTGAAACCCAGCATAATGGTGGGTGGCAACTCGAGACGAGGACCTTTGTAGAGGTGTTACCTCTCCCACCTCCACTACCTAGTTTGAGAACATTGACACTATTTGGAATCAAATTCTTTCCAGAATCAATTTTTTTCCAGGCCTAGTGGTACACACATGTAATTCCAGTGATTCAGGAAGCTGAGACAGGGGGATCACCAGTTCAAGGTCAGCCTGAACAACTTAGCAAGACCTTGTCTCAAAATAAAATCTAATAAAGGACTATAAACATAGCTCAGTGGTAGAGCACCCTTGGGTAAAGTGCCCAGTAAAAAAATATTAAACAATTGGAAAAATAAACTAGATTATATGATTTCACTCTTTATCTATAGAATTTGCAAAGATTGAAAGAAATAATGACCAACAATGGCAAGTGGGTGGGTAACCAGGCACTCTCACACATGAATGAGGGAGTGGCAGTATGCTCTGATGTGACCCTTCTGAAGGAAATTTGGCAGTAACATATTTTACCTTTCAAGCATATTTGTGTATTCATTTAGGGCTAGTTCAAACATCTGGCTTGTTCATGTTGATCTCTGAAGATGTCCATTATTGATTTACCACTCATTGAGAGGTGGAAATGTATCATTCTATTCAGCCCAGTAACCAAATAAGCACTTTAAAAGTTCTTTTTAGAATGATTAGAACAATGATAAAGTAAATATTCTGTTACCTTATAAGAAGTAATTTATTGATAACCTACTCAGTGCTCAGTACCTTGCTAGGTTTATGAGACACTTAAGGAGTATAAGGTGGAGGGGTTGGGGTTGTGGCTCAGTGGTACAGCACTCGCTGAGCATGTGCAGGGTACTGGGTTCGATCCTCAGCACCACATAAAAATAAAATAAAGGTATTATGACCAACTACAACTAAAAAAACAAAACCAAAAAAAAGAAGAAGAAGAAGAATAAGTATAAGGTGGGTGTGTTAGTCAGTTTTCCATTACTGTGACAAAACACCTTATAAAATCAACTTAAAGAAGGAAAGATTTATTTTGGCTCAAGATTTCAAAGGTTTTAGTCCATAGTCACTAGGCTCTATTGTTTCTGGACCTGTGGCGAAGCAGAACATCATGATGGGGAGCACATGGTATAGCAAAACTATACCTCATGGCTGATGGGAAGCAGAGAGGGGGAACAGGGACAGATCATACCCTTCAAAGGCACAGTCCTAGTGACTTACTCCATCTAGGTCCCACCTCCTACAGTTTCTACCACCTCCCAATAGCCCCTTAGCTCTCAGTCCATAAATGGATTAGTCCATTAACGAGGTTACAGCCCTTATGATCCAATGACCTCCCAAAGGTCACCTCTGAACCCGATGCACTGGGGACCAAGCCTTCAACACATGAGCTTTTGCAGGACATTTCAGATCTAAACCATATCAAGAGGGTTCCAGCCTTCAGAGCTGAACTAGGAAGTCAAGAGCAAACCTCTGTGACAGAACGGGAGAGCAAGCGGGTAAGGCTAACTTGTGAAGTGGAGACTCGGACCAAGCAGCTGGCCAACTTGAAATCACCCCCTCAGAAATGATGAGGACACGAGAGGGGAATGCACATCTCTTTTCCATCAGTCATTCCCCCTCCTCCTGCACCAGTGCTTTGATAAAAACAGCACAGCTGTTCTTCTGAGCTTCTCTTTTCCTTGGCTCTTTCTACCCAACAAATGACAGGTAGTAATTTCCCTTTCCAACTGTACAGTGCAACCCAAATAGTGGATGAGGGACAATTTTTCTCTGTAGAACTATTTCAGGAAATAAATTAAAAGGAAATGATAGGGCTGGGGTTGTGGCTTAGTGGTAGAGCACTTGCCTAGCATGTGTGAGGCATGAGGTTCGATCCTCAGCACCCCAAAAAATAGATAAATAAAATACATATTATATATATGTATATAAATAAAATACAGGTATTGTGTGTCCATCAACAACTAAAAAAAATTAACAAAAGGATAGAGCTAGAATATTATCATCATTTTGTAAATCATAAATGGAATAATGGATCAGGCAATGATTGCCAGTAGCAGGTGACATCCTAAGAGACACCTGGGCATCATGTAGGGAGTCTACAACATTTCCTCTAAAGAAGTCCCTCCAAAAAATTAAAACTGCATAGAACAGAGTCTCTAAGCCTAATAGCCAGTCTAGGAAACCCAAGAAAGGAGGAAAATGCTACATAGCACTGCAGGCATGCAGTTGGAAAATTTTTAAAAGGGAGGAGTCTACAGAAAAAGTGGCCTGGTTTCCACAACAAATAATAAAGGGTGAATCTTTAAGTGAGAAAAGTAGACTTAAGGGATATATTAGTCAAATACATTGTGGACCTTGTTTGGATCCTAATTTGAACAAACTAATAATTGTTTTATGATATATATGTAATACATATCATATATAATGTATGTGATACAATCAGGGAAATTTAATACTGGGAGGATATTTGATATTAAGGGATTATTGGTAAATTTTTTAGGTATAATAATGTCATTGTGGTTTTCTAAGCTTTTGCTCTTTGTTAAAAAAAAAATAGAGGCAAAGACTTAAATATTTACAGTTGCAGGGGGAGCAGAAGTGGAAAGGAGACTGGGAGATAAAAACAAGTAGGTATCAGCTCTCCATGAACTACCAGGATGTGATTGGTGAGAATTGCACCCTCCCCAGTTTTTTTTTCAAAATTTTTTTAGTTGTTGATGGACACAATACCTTTATTTTGTTTTTATTTTTATGTGCTGCCAGGAATCGAACCCAGTACCTCACGCATGCTAGGCAAGCGCTCTACTACTGAGCCACAACGCCAGCCCCCCCAATTATTCTTTTGCTTTGCAACAAGCACAGACCAAAGCATGCATGAAAAGTTTGAGAAAAAAAAAAAGATTCCCTCAAAAAAAAGAAAATCACAAAATGCACAAATCCTATAGATGGGTAACTGCTCCAATCAACTTCAGCCCCTGCCAGCAGCTGGCTTGAGGCCCGGGTGGCAGTGCAGTGGATTTCCAGGTGTGCTCTTTTGTATTGCTTCTCCCAGCCTCTGACTGTACAAATGTGCTGTTGCTTCCCTTGGGGTAATTATCTCCTCCCCCACACTCACCATCTCTCTTCTCACACCTCCTTTAATATGTGCCGACAGTCACACACTGATGCAGACACAAAGGCAGCATCTGCTTGAGAATCCAAGAGTCTTGTGTCATTTCACACCAAGAATCAAGGGGGGAGGAGCGCTAAGTGTCATCCGAGGACTCCCGTGGTAACATGTTCCCATTAAAGGCCTATTGCTTGGATTTTTAGAACTAGACAATTCCCCCACCCCCATGACTTCTTA